TCGACCAGATCCCCCTCTATGAGTTCAGGGGGCTCTAAGTCCCAGTCAATGGTAGCCCCATAGACCTCTACTTGCACCCGCGGCCACATTCAACTGGCGGCTAGAGAGAGCGCGGCAAGCGGAAGGTGTAGATTAATGACTGAAATTTCGCGTCGCTTTCCTCACGCCTCCGAGAACAAGCTAGTAGGTTCACCTGAAATCAGGTTACTGCAACGTCTCTTTCCCTTCTCCTTCTAGGGAATTCTTTTGTATTTTTCAATTATAAATTAAAGAAAATATATTAAGTTAAGTTAAATTTTCTTTCTTAGTTCATATATATTAAGGATCAATACTTATATAAGCCCGCCGAGTTTGATGCTTTTTAGGGGTAAAAGTAAAATTCCGGGATCTTACTAAAATTTCGGCAGCGTTTCGCCTCCCCCCCATTGCGATGGGGTTCGGGACTATTGTCCCTAGACAAATGCTACCTACCTAGAACTAAGCCAAATGAAACAGGAGGAAAGCCGCTGAAAGAAACAAATTTCYAACGTATTTTTAATTAATTTCCCTAATCGCTATCAATATATACATATATATATATAAAAAGGAATTAATAATTTAAATTAGGAAATTTTGCGAAGTTTCGGCTACATTTTGGCTCCCCCCCGTTGGGGTAGGGTTTGGCCGAAGACCTCAAAAATGCGGACGAGAGATGTTTAACAAGAATTTTTTAGCTAATTTTTAAGTATTTTCTTTAATTATTTAAGATTTAATTGAATAAAATTCACCAAATTGCCGAGTAATTTCGGCAGCACTTGGCTCCCCCCCCGTTGGGATGGGGTTAAGCGAAGTATCTCCTGAATCACAAAGTCGAAATAAAGTCGACTCCCCCTTCTTGTAGAATTTTAGATAATTATTTTGATTTTGAATTGATTTTAAATGACAAATTATTACTTAAAACAAATTTATAACTTAAATTATTTAATAAAATAAAATTCCCAATATTGATTAATTTCAATTTGGTCAACTAGATTTATACAAAATTTTCTCTCACCGGTCGGATAGGAAGACTTGTATCCGCCCGGCTACGCACCGCCCTTCCCTAACCTAGGGTTAGGGTTTTACCCTAATTAGGGTTTCCCCCAATTAGGGTTTTAGGATTTTACGCGCGACCACACACCACCACGTCCGACTTCTCGAGGCAGAAAATTTTCCGTGGGGTTTGTAGTCAGTTAAAAGCCGGGTTCCAATGGATCACTTTTGCCGACTTCTGTTTCCCTTTTATTTTTATAAAAATACAAAGAAAATCACTAATTCTTCTTAATTTTCCCCTCTTTTCCTGTCTGTTGGCGGTCACCACTCGTCCAAACGGAGTCCGTTTTCCCCGACTAAGCTCTCAAAATGTCGGGAAAAATACAAGGACCAACTTTGGTCCGGGCGGGGTTCACCTAATTTCGCTCCCTTTCTTCATAATTAAAATAAAAAAAAATTCATGATTTTCGGAATTTTGATTAGAAGAATACAAAAAATTCCATATCTCCTTTTCTAGCCATTAAAAATTTTCAAAAAATATCTCAAAACGTTCCCCTCGACGAGAGGTCATACTTTGCTTCGGTGCGCCTCGCGTAAAAACGCGCGGATCAGGAGATATCGAAAAAAAACGAATTAAATATTTAAACTCATGATTTTTAGGATTTTTAA